TTGCAAAGCTGAAAGAGCTAAAGGACCTAAAAAAATGAAATAAAGTTAGTAGGAAATAAAATGCAAGAAGCAAATAAAAAAAAAAAGAAAGAAAATGTACCTTGAGTGCCGTGCAAAGGAGCGAAAGGCCTAAAGAAAAAAAAGATTATCCGAGTACGTTTAAAAAAACAAACAAACATAAGAAATGATCAGCACATTAATTAGCCAATAAAATTTAAATGAGGTGATATCACTGGGTAAATTATATAAAAATATATAAAATTATCAGGTTAAATCACCCTAGGTGAAAAATTGCTAAATCACCTCGGGTGAAAATTAGTTATAATCTATAAATAATTTGTATTTCATTTAATAATAAAAGTGAATACTGGACACTTTTTTTATATAGAAGATTACTTCAAATCAGTTACAAATCTTTATTTTATTGCGTATTTACGATTCAATTTCATAAATTTTATTATACTTTTTTAGGCCATATAAGGAGTGAGAAGAAAAATATTAGAAGAAAGGAGTGAGAAGAAATTAATCATATAAAGTATCATTTTATGTGATACAATGATATGCAAAAAACTCAAAAAGTATAGCCATTATAGCTACTATTATCATTCGGCATTAAATTACGTAATGTTAAAGATATTATTGCATCCAAATAACCCAATCAAACCTTTTTACTCATATGTAAATGATTACTAAATTTGAGAAAAGACAATGCAACTCCTTAACATATGATTTTTGTATATTATTGTACAATTATGAAAAGAAAGTCGTGAGCAGTCTATAGAATATTATGTAAAGCTACAAAATTCAAAAATATTTAGAGTTGGTAACGAATTTACATTTCAATAGTACCATTAAATAGAAATTTATAAACTTAACTGCTAAAGGAAGAGAAATTTTTAAACGATAAATGGATGAAACATAGTACAGTTTGATGGTTGCTAGAATACTCTCAAAATAATTTTCATGATTAATTGTGGAGGTTATAATTAAAATATTCCAATTGAAATAATACAGTGACGATCTGCTTATTTGCTTATTTAATGATTTAGCATATTTTATTATTTTATGTCTTAAAGTAAATAGTATTTTTTTCCAAATAATGAAAGATACATCGTTCGGAAAATAAAAAAATTGAATGTTGT